AACATCAAGCTACTTAACTATACATACATTCTGAAAAACATATAACAACCAGCCGACATGAGATCAGTTTCTACTTTCTAAGGGCAGTATCTACACTTATGTTTGATTGAGTATTAACTAGTTCTGTTAAGATCATAGATAATGAGAACAAGAAAACTAGTAGAGATGAAGGTGGATTCAAACAATTCTAGGTACTAAGTTCTAGTTGGAAAAGATTAGTTACCATCATTTTTTTCTAGAATTAGTCTTAATAGAAAATGACTATATGCAAATCAACAAAAAAAAAACTAAAAAGTCTGGTATCTTGGTGCTTACTTGGTCATTAGAAAAAAGTAGAGGTCATTCAGTTGAAATAGGAGATGTTGTAGGTTGGACATTTGATTGTTGAGCAGCAAATAATTCCTTCATTTTCATTATTTGTTTCATTGCATCTTCCAAGGTAGACAAGCGATGGTTCAAGGATTTGTTTTTCTCATTCAAGGATTTATTTTCTTCATTCAAGCATTTGTTATCCTCTTGAGTTGAACGTAGCGCAGAAAATAATTCAGCCTTCGAAGAAGTTCCACCTTTTAAGTCTTTCGCCTTTACTCCACCCCCAAATCCAAATACATGGCTACGAGTTTGAGGTCCACAACATTTTTCAACAATCTCTATGCTAGGTAGAGATGAATCGGCTTGAACCATTTCTTTGAGTTGAGCCTAAATTTTTTATAAAAAAACAATTTCTATCAAAACACATAACAATTTCAAGTAATAGACATATTCAATTGATCAAACGCACATGTTTTTCAATTGCTTCAGGTTCCACAAACTTGTTATCTTTCTTACGCGTCTCAAAGAAAATAGTCGCCAAATCTGGTGGGTTGCCATTTTTCCCGCCCTTTACATCAAAGTCAAACATGTCAAATAACACAAACCTCATAAATATTTCATTCATGAAATAGTTTTACGCTAGTACCTTTTGATAAATAATCTCTCGAATAGGCTTACTACCAATATGATGAAGCATCTTTAACTTAGCTCGATTTGCTGCATTTCTGCTGCCTCTTGCCTAAACAAAAATTTGTCTTAGTTCGTAGCTTTTACTTTGTTTGAAAAGAAAGAAACTAGAAGATATTCCAAAAGAAACTAATGCAACATATACTCGAGTAGGCCATATACAAGAGTATTGAGTTCTCTGTCAAGTCCACCTGGAAATCCATCCTAATGGAAATTCAGTTATCCTTCAATGTTACTTCAATGTTACTGCTGCAGCAATGTTGTCATTACTACTTTGATTCTCTCATCAATAAGTGATCACAAGAACTGACAGCAAAATTCTCCCAGATATATACAACACTTATTGATACAAACAGAGAAATATATTGAGAATAGCAAATAATGTTTTCTTTCAAAAGAAGCAACTTCTTAAAATGTCTTCACAACAATACTAATCTTGAGAATAGCATTGACATCATCATGGACTACATATGCTGCGCACATCAGTTATTAATGGAAGGATGTAAATGGATGTTCAATAATCAGAAAGTTACAGTTTGGTCTGCTCCGAACTACTGTTACAGGTCAGTTAAGTCACAGGACTAGTTTGTAATTTATTTTTCCTTTACTTACTGTCATCTTCCTCTTTTCTTTTGTCAGAGGTATTCCTACTTCTTTCTACTTTGTCATGTTTGGTGAATGAGGAATATGTTATTAATTTATTAACATGCTATTTTCACTCGCAATGGTTAAACAGAAATTCCACATCCCATCATCCTATATATTTCTTTCATTAGCGAGACATTTATTAACATTACGAAATGCAGTGCACTAAGAAGTGGCAAGGTACAGGGCATAGAAATACTGGAACTGTCCAAATAGAATCTGCCTATTATAAAAATGGAACTATTGGAAGAGAACAAAAAACCTCATGACACACTGTACCAAGAATGAGAAGTAAGTGGTCAGCTCTAGATATTGAGGGACTCATGGAGTAGTCTATACCAAGCAGGTGATGCAACAATTCAAAGCACGACAACTATTTCAGTAACATGGTTCAAACAACTGGGTATATTTGGTGCTAAAGAGGGAAATCAAGCGGTAAACGACTGGAAAATATACTATTTAATCAGTAGGCATACCTGGAAACTTTCAGAAGCAAAATGTTCCTTTACTAACCATTCCCATTCTTTTTTTCTACTCCCCTTGGAATAGTCCTAAGAGATTGATGGATAGGCTTATCCTTCACATATTTTGCATGCAAGTATCCTCTCCATTTGTTCCATAACTCATTCATCCATCCCAAGATATGATCACGATGATCATTCATGTCCACAGCCTCAAATTTATGCTACAATTATTGAAGCATGAGTTGAGTTATTACCAAGGGAAACCTATCAGGAAAGCATCATAAAATGAAAAAGATCTCTTCTTCTAGTAGAATAAGCAGACATTTCAATAGAAAAGAAATTCAGTAGCACGTCTGTTTTTCCAGTAGCACACTAAAATTCCAGTAGCAGATATCTCCTACATCTGCTTTTTTTTTTTGATCTCTTAGAAAAAACATTCAGTAGCAAATGTGATTCACATATACTTGAATTCAGTACCACATGTGAAATGTGAAAATCATTCGACAAACAACTATGTGTTTGAATCACATAAACATTTGTTACCTCAACGACTATTATATGGACAAGAATACGCAATTGTATTAGATAACCATAACGAATTTGAATCAGGTGCAATTTGTTACCTCAACGGCTGCCCACATGTGATTCAACTTTTCTTGTTTAATATCATTCCATGATGATACTCCCAAAGGACAAATATTACGATCACGAACAATTTTTCCCAGATGCCTCGAAAATAGTTTGCTATTTGTTCCAACTGTTCGATTATTGTAAAAGGTCACTGTGAGCTTCTGTCCAATTTCAAGTGTAGCTACTTCTTTGTATATGTTGCTCCCTCGAACTCTTTTTACCTTTTTAGGATTAGATGAGCCTACAGTTTCATAGTTTTATAAAGACTATAGTAATCAAATTCAGTTCTACAATTTAATAACATATGGATTCAAAATTCAATACCTTTTTCTGTTGTTTCAGTTGTCTCACTGTGTTTCATAACTTGATCAACAGATGGAGGCAATGAAATATTGATTTGCATAGCCTCCTCACAAATCAAGGGATTTTTGTCCATGGTTCGCATTTCTTGATTAGAAGACATGGTAGAATTTGATCTTGTACCTTGAGAAGACATTTCAACTTCAGATCTTTTCTCTAATCCCTTTCCTATAACCCCTGGACCTGAGAAATGTAATATAACAATTCATCAAAATAACATTGTTTTTTTAAAAAGAAAACATAACAAATCTGAAAACAAACTTACTTGTTTTAACTTCTTGGGTGTATTGCTTAACTTGATTAGTACATGCAGGAGATGAAATGCTACTTTTCATGTTCTCTTTCTCAAGAGTCAGGGCATTCTTATGCATCGTTTCCATTCCTAGACTAGCAGACATGGTAGAAATTTTTGGTCCTTGTCCTCGAGTCTTCCCTATAGAACATATAGAAAATATATCATGTTATTAATCCTTAACAAAGTGTTTTGAAACATAAGAAGCTGTTGAATAATGACAAGAACTCACAGAGAAGATTAGGTTCTGAAACAGAAAAAAAAAACAGAGAGTAATAGAGAAGAGAACAGACAATAGGTTAATTCACATGCTAGGGAAGTCCAAGTAGCGAATTTGTATATAATGATTACTGGTTGAATACAATTTTTCATTTAACCAAAAAAATAAATATATCTTACTTGTTTCAATTTCTTGGATGTAATGGTTAACAAGATCATTAGATTGAGAAAATAACTTCTTTGTTGGCATACTCCCTTTCTCACCCAAGGATTTAAGTCCTTGTCCTCGTCCTCGTCCCTTTCCAATAGCACCAGGCGCAACAAAAGTATATCTCATAGTACTCTTCGTAGTTGAACTATCCTCACTTTCAGTCTTGATTGGTTTCATCTTGAACCTGCAAAAACATCCAAAAATAAAAAATATATCATCATTCATTTGTTCAACAATCTCAAAGGAATCACGATAAATATACTATAAATATACTAATTTCAATAATGTGTAACAACAGATATACTAATTCATAATAAATATACTTCACCTCATTAGTTCTTTTTCGTTTCTTTTTTGAAGGACTTCCTAACTCTACAATATCGTCATCCATTTGTTCCACAATCTCAAAGGAATCACGAGGTTAAGTCTTCATCGCGACTTGCCAACCTTTGTTGGAATTATCATTAGCACAGAACACTTGGGATGCTTGGTTAGCCAAAACAAAGGGCTTATTTGTTTTCAGTAATCTAGCCGGATTAACACTCACAAAATCATACTCGTCTTTTTTTACTCCTTTTATTTCATCAAACACATCAAACCAATTACATCGAAATAAAACCACTCTTCTATCCATGACAAATTGCAACTCAATCACATCTGTTAAAACTCCATAGTAATCAAGGTTCTCACTATCTTTATCATTCTCACCCAATACAACAACACCACAATTCTGAGTCCTTAACTTTTTATCATAATTTTCTACATGAAATCTATATCCACTAATAACATAACCATTAGAATGCGTGGAATATTTGGTAGGACCGTGTGAAAGTGAGAGGAGATCTTCCATCATACGACTATCATCTCCTTTGTGCAATTGTGCGACCTATAAACAAGATTACGTTGACTATTTTAGAATGAGTAATACAATATTATAATATCAAATTTCATGTTTATGTATTACTCACCCTATCTTTAAACCATTCAATAAATTGTTTGTTCCATTCAGCATCAGACAAGTGTCGAGCATTCTCATGAGTTTATGTAAACTCTCTACAAAATTGAAGTAAACCATGAATTTCATATAGATATGAAATTAACCTGACGAAAATAATAATAATAATGAGATGATTTGAAAGAACACTACATACTCGAGATACGGTAAGACTTCATCACAATTCTATAGTATGTAAATATGTGCTTGTTCTAATTCATCTGCTTCAAGCTCATATGGGGTTTTAGCTCCCAGAGTTTTTCCAGATTGACAAAATATAGATAAGCCTCCATCACATTTTTTTAAACCCCCATCATAATTTCGTTCAGGCTTATTGAACTTTGTGTCAATTCTATGCAGATACCTCGAACATAAGGTCATACATTCAATGGCAATATAGCCCTCTGCAATAGAACCTTCAGGACATGCCCTATTACCAATGAGAGATTTCAAAAAATATAACCATCGTTCCACATAATACATCCACCGATAATGAATCGGTCCAGCAATCTTAGCTTCACTAGCTAAATGAACAGGTAAGTGCTCCATCACATCAAAAAATGAAGGAGGGAAGAGCTTTTCTAACTTGCAAAGTGTTATTGGAATTTGTGCTTCAATATGTTCCAAGTTATCAATTTTCAACTCCTTTGATCCAAGCACACTAAAAAATATAGATAATTCAATCAGCGGTTCACACACTTCTTTAGACAACATTCCACAAAGTGCAAGAGGGAGCAAATGTTGAAGAAGAACATGACAATCATGACTTTTCAATCCAGATATCTTGTGATCTTTTAGGTTCACACATTGAGAAATATTAGATGAAAACCCATCAGGAACCTTTAGATTCTTTAAGAAAAGGCATAATTTGTGCTTATCTTCAGGAGACAATGTGTAGCATGCAGTTGGAACTTCAAATTTCTCCCCATTTTGAATTGGGTGCAATTCCGACCTAATGTTCATTTCTTGCAAGTCTAGCCGAGTTTTAATTGTGTCTTGGGTCTTTCCTTTGACATTAATTATTGTCCCCATGATATTATCACATATTTTTTTTTCAATATGCATAACATCCAAATTGTGTCGCAACAAGAGACACTTCCAATATGGAAGTTGAAAAAAGATACTTTTCTTGTTCCAATTATCATTTCGATTTTCATGTGAAATCTTCTTCCTTTTCTTTGGATCTTTTGATAACTGTAGTCCTTCAAGATCTTGCACTTGATTGAGTATCTCAATACCAGAACGCATTTTCGGTGGGGGACTTTTCTCTTGTGTACCATCAAATGACTTTGTCTCATTTCTCCATTTATGACTAAGAGGAAGGTAACGCCGATGACCTATAAAACACTGCTTCTTACAATTAGTCAATCGAATTGAAGCTGTGTTCTTATTACAACATGGACATGCCAGTTTTCCTTTTGTACTCCATCCAGATAAGTTTCCATAAGCTGGAAAGTCATTGATGGTCCATAACAAAGAAGCATGCAACTTAAAATTCTTTCTAGTTGATGCATCATAGGTCTCATTACCAACATCCCACAACTCCTTCAATTCCTCTATTAAAGGCTGGAGATATGTATCAATTGCATCTCCAGGACCATTTGGACCAGGAATAAGCATCGACAGAATGAAATTTTCTTGTTTCATACACAACCAAGGTGGTAAATTATAAGGAATAAGAACAACAGGCCAAATGCTATGTGAAGTTTTTGAATTTCGAAAAGGCTGAAATCCATCACTAGCGAGTCCAAGTCGAACATTACGAGGGTCAACTGCAAATGAAGGATGAAGTTCATCAAATGACTTCCATGCCATTGAATCAGCTGGGTGCCTCATTATTCCATCATCAACTCTTTCATCATTGTGTCAGGTCATTAGAGAAGATGTCTTTGTAGACATAAACAACCTCTGAAGTCTAGGCTTTAAGGGAAAATAGCATAAGCTCTTTGAAGCTATCTTTTTACCTTTCTTATTCTTTATTTCTCCACTATGTGTATTAATTCTCCATCTCGATGCACCACAAATTTTACAAGAATCGAGGTAGTTATCCTCCTTCCAGTATAACATGCAATCGTTAGTACAAGAATAAATCTTATTATAAGAAAGCCCAAGTTCATGAATTATCTTTTTTGCCTCATAATATGAGTTTGGCAAATCAGCGTCATCAGGCAATAACTCATCTTTTAATAGTTTCAATAACATTGTAAATGACGCATTACTCTAACGACCAATACTTTTGATATGAAGTAATTTGATCAAAGAAGAAATCTTTGAAGCTTTTGAATTTTTGTACAGCGGCTTCTCGAAATCCTTTAATAGGTTGTAAAAACATTTTGCTTCAACATTTGGTTCCTCCTCAAGTAAATCATCACAATCTGTGTGTGTACTTCCTCCGTCAAGATTAGGATATAGATCTCTCAACAATTCTTCTACTTCATCCTCACTCTTACATTCTTCTACTGCATCACCATCTCCATCTTCAGATTCATATTCAGTCAATGGCTCACCCAAACGTTCTCCATGGTGATACCAGAAAGTATAGTTTCGAATTATACCATACACTAGCAAATGTGTCTCAACTGTTTTACGAGTTCCTAGAATTGTATTGAAACATTTGACACATGGACATCGTATTTCATGTTCTTCTCCTGTTCTTTGAAAGGCATAATCTAAAAACTTTTGCACATCGGCTAAATAGACTTCATCAAGTCGATTGTCAACAAGTTCCATCCATTGCTTACTAGGTGCCATAACCTTAGAGAAAACATAAAAATTAGATTATTTTTTTTAAAACGAAATAAAAATAATAATATGCACACAACTTGTTGCAATTAGATGCACACAACTAAGTTGAACTCTAAGATCACAATTTCTAGTAGACCTTGGCTACTTTTTCAGTTAAGGAATTGCAATATAGTTTCAAATGACAATAACTAATGTTAATATAATTTTTGATAATAATATGGAAAGAATTTAATGTTTCAAATTTTAATATCCTACTTAACTTAACATTGTACATGACAAGTCTGTACAAGCTATTATTAACTGGAAAAAAAAGTATACATAAATTTGATGATCAATAGAAGAGTGCTTGCAACATGAATCAACAAAGAAAAAGGGACCAAGGCAACTCAAGAAAGTAGAAAATAGTACTTTCGAGTTCAAACGGTTTTCAATTCTTTCCCTGTGTTACACTCAACTGGTGTTGAAGCCCTTTTTGTTAAAGAGGCTGAAGGAAGAAGCAACATATCAGTTGCTAGAAAGGTAAAATTGTTATGTTTTTTGTTTTAGACCTTTCTCTTTTGAGGCAATAAGCTGCTCGTTTAAATGATCACATATGTTTCTTTTCTAGATTGTTCATAAGTTGTCATACATTTAGTTAGTCGAGTAGCTTTGATCTTTAGTTCACATATGTTATCACTTATTTGAATTTCACTCCATCTAATGTGTTCATCATTTATTAAAGAAAGTCAATAACTACATTACAGTAGTTTTTCCTACAATTCATCATCTTCTCACGATCATTAGTGTAGGAGTCAAATAGGTAATGTATGACGCAAGTGTTAAAGTTTGTTTCCTCCCAATATGTTGACACAACAACCATGAATAACGAAAATGAGCAAACTGAACAAAATTAGAGAAGAACACCATTTACAAAGCAACATATTTAGATTTCTTTCTCAGAATTTTGAAGGTTTTCTTTGAGATATCCTTAGCTTTTCACTCATGCTTTCTTTCTCGTCCATCTTTTATAATTATTTTCTTCGACAATCTGATTAGTTGACGTGATTTTTTAAAAGCCAGTAGTTGTTTGTTGACTAGACATGACATAAATGGCCATTCAAATTGACTTATTTGTTGATCACTATCTTTAGTTAATTGTTCAAAGACTCCAAAGTCAAGTAAATAGTGATGTTAACAGTTGTGTAGATTAACGACTTGTAGCACATTAATAAAAGATGACAATTACTTAACTCGATCAAGACTCCAATATAAAGAAACTTCATGTTGTACAGTCAACAACTAATCCATCAAGACTCATATACCTATTTATACATGGGTCTGTTTTGTCCATTAAAAAAAGGAAACCATGAAGGAGAGAAGGAGAGAAAAAGAGAAGAAGGGAGAAGAAGAACATAAAGGACATTGCGAAGGAGACAACCTATGTTGCTTGTGTGAGAACACCTTGTAGGATAAGAGACGAAGTACAGTTTCTTTTTTTGAAAATTTGTATGCTCTATATGATCAGATGATTTATTAGATCAAGCATGTTAAGACTTAAGCATGATTCGTTGGTTAAGACAATCAGGTTAATGACCAAAATAACTATTTACTTGTCAATCGTTGAAATAAAGTTTATTGCTCGCTATAATTAATTCACTGGTTAAAGACTTCAAATACAAGTGAATCAGTGATGTTAAAATATTTGCCGATTCACGACCCGTAACACATTAATGAAAGAAAGCCGAGTACTTAACTTGTAGTATATAGAAAATAATCACGTTTATTATTACAAGTCGATCAAGACTCCATTGTAAAGAATCTTTGTGTTGTTTAATCAACAACTAATCAAACAAGAATCATATATTCATTCAATACAAGGGACTTTGGTGTCCATTGAAGAGGGGAATCATGAAACAGAGAAGAAAAGAGGAAGGGTGCCCTCATAATTATTTTTCTAAAATAGACTTTCTATTATGGGTAATGTGATTCTTTGAACACACAATATACTACAAACATGAATACACTTCAAAAACAATTAAACTTTTAATTAGAATCTGGACTCAATAAAATAAGATAATAGGGCAAAGTTGAGCAACAGATTAGTAAACAGGACGAAGAGGAAGAGACATCATACTCAAAATTCGTAGTTGAGAGAAGGAAACAAAGAAGTTGCTGCTGAGAATACTTACAGAGGATTTGAGGCAGAGCCTAATAACCGTAGGTTGCTGTTGATCGAGATGAAAATGAGACGCTTCTGTTGAGTTGAGCAAAAGATCAGTAAACAAGAAGAAGAAGAAGAGACAGCATACCTTAAATTCGCAGTTATGAAAAGGAAATAAATATGTTGCTATTGAGAATACGTACAGAGGATTTAAGGCAGATCGATCTGAATAACTCTAGGTCGTTGTTAACCAAGATGAAAAAGAGACACTTTGTTGAGTTGAGCGAACGATATGATCATCAGTAAACAGGAAGAAGAAGAGACACCATACCTTGGATTCGCAGTTGAGAGAACGTTGCTGCTGAGAATACGTTCAGAGGATTTAAGGCAGAGATGAATAGCCCTAGGTTGTAGTTGATCGAGATGAAAAAGAGACTTTTGGACTTGAGAATTTACGTATAGGGCAAAAACGTGACCAATGGATTTTGAGAGAAAAACGTTTTTTTTTTATTTTTAGAAAATAGTGTTTCTTTTTGCCGCCTACTTTTCAGAATTATTATTTTTTGGGTTTTAGTAAATTTTTTAGCAATGTTTTGGCGCTCCCGCTAAGTCTCTCAATTACAATTGGGACGAGTCATTAGTTTTCTTAGGGACGAGATTTTTTACCTTCTCAATAACATATAACTTTTAGGACCGAAATATAATCTCGTCTCAAAATATATACTTTTTTGTGACGGGATTATTAACTCATCCCTACATGTTGGTCTTAACTGAACCTTTTTCTTGTAGTGATTCTTGGGATGCGGTCGCTGCTCTTCGATTTTGCCATGATCTCCCCCACCTTGGTCATGACTACATCTCATCTCATCTTCTCTGGCTCTGTCGGGCTTTTCATACCCGAAGTCTGTCAAAGCTTTGTCCTGCATGATGGCTTCATCGATGGTCCTGACCTGTCGATTTTGCAACTCTGTCCTGGCCCAATTTTGCAACAAATCCATGAAATGAAACAACATATCTTCATCCGTGAGATTGGGAATCTTTAGCGTGAACGGTGGTGAACTCTTTCACGTATGCGCGTATGTTGCTCCTCTGCTTCAACTCCCTAAAATTATGTTTTTCCTCATAGATGACGTTGTTAGGGAAGAAAGCCTTCTTGAACTCCACTCGAAATTGCTCCCAAGTGTTGATGGTGCAAAGCCCCTTCCATATTTCTGACTCACTACGCCTCAACCAAAGCATAGCCATCTCCGAAAGATACAACACAACGATGTTGATCTTGTTTTCATCGCTCTTCACTCGATTACACTTGAAATAATTCTTCAAGTGCCATAAGAAATTATCCACCTATTGTGCGTCACAGACGCCTTTGAACATAGGTGGCTTGAAAGCCTCGAACTTTGGCCTCCCTATCCCGATCGAATGACGATGATCCTCTAACTTCCATGCCCTCCTTGATTTCTTTCATCTCGGCCTTCATGGTCTCAATCGTGCTTAACGCCTCCATGAGCCGACACTCCAAGGAAGTGATAACCTCTTTCATCTCAAACTCGGGACGTTGGCAGCCCTCCAACTCCTTGCAGATGTTGCCATTCTTCTCAAGGGTGAATTGTTCTAGAGTTTTGAACTTGTCATTGACCTCGTTCAAACGCCGGCCTAATATCTCTACGATTTGCCTTGCCACTTCAATCCTCACGACCCATTCCTCTCCGGTAGTGATGTCAATGACCTCATCGCCATGTTTATCATCACTTTCTTCGGTGGTCGAAGGTGGGTGAGATGTTAGTGCCTCGCTTGGTGTAGGATCGAGCAGCATTTCTTCACTACTCTTGTGGTGCTTCTTTCCCTTGCGGAGTTTCTTTCCACTATCCAGTCTGACGTTGGTGGTGCTAGTGGCATTAAAATCTCCTTCATTGGCCATTCTCTTAGTGACAAACCTTTGCTCTGATACCAT